AGCTTTACATATCTGGTAACTATTGGCCAAAGGTTAGAAGAAGGTTTGAAAAATGGTAAGGTATCCAAAGCTGTCGAATCTTCTAATGGGGAAAAGAAGTCCTATGGGAATTTCCAGAAGAAGAAAGAGGAGCAGACCAATGTCGTCATGTCTGAATCAAGAAAGCCTCGCCAGGGATCTCAACCTGTTGTTGCTCCACAACCAACTCAGACTCCTCAACGTCCAGTTATTAGACAAGACCAGTCTCAAAATAGGAATCAATTTGATCTTATTCCCATGACTTACACATACCTATATCATGACCTAGTTCGACAAGGACTGATCACTACAAAGGCTTTGCCACCTCCTCCCAATCCTCCTCCAGTTGGATTTAGGGCTGATCTCAATTGTGATTTTCATGAGGGTGCCCCGGGCCACAACTTGGAGCATTGTTTTGCACTAAAAGCTAGAGTGCGCGAGTTGATTCGAGGTAGAATACTTGATTTCGTGGATAGTCCTCCAAATGTTCAGAAGAATCCCTTGGTAGAGCATCAAAAGTGAAGTTTCGGTCGGTTCTAATTTAGTCACTAGGCTTTTTTGTTTCTCGTTGTTTGTACTTTCCTTATTTTATTAGTTGTTTACTCTCGAACTATGTATGTACTTTTACATTAATGAATTGGGCATTGCAACTTTTGATTTAATTCATTTTATCTATTATTTGCATCTTTATACTTTATCTTTCAAATATTTACTTCTTGTGCAATTGTTGATATGCAAAGATTGGAGGGAGGATGACGAAAACGTTATACCCATAACTGTTGTCGGTATGCTTTCAATCAGACTTTGTTGACGATGTAAGATATTGTTTCAACTCCCAAATATTGGAGAAATAAGGAAGTTATCCCTTTGTCACCCCCTTTGAGCCTAGAAGTTGGAGCTTCTTTCTTTAAAAAAAAACGCAATCTTAACCTTGGGATGGGTAGTTCTCAGTTAACTTGGTTGTGTGTTCCGGCAATACACCTTTCATATAAAAGATGCTTTCACAAATTTTCCTTCGCGCACAACAAATAACTGTCGAAGATGTTTTCCAATGTCAAAATGCCAATGATGGTTCACTGTGATCATTAAAACTAAGCAGTCACTTTCTCTCAAATATATATATATATATATATATATATATATATATATATATATATATATATATATATATATATATATATATATATATATATATATATATATATATATATATATATATATATATATATATATATATATATATATATATATATATATATATATATATATATATATATATATATATATATATATCAAAAGAAAAAGTCTGCTAAGTCAAAACCTATGAAGGAGACTTAGGCAAAACTGGGGCATCCCGCTGACTGTAAACTTTAAAAGAAACAGTTCAGGCAAAATTTAGGATAATAAAAAGAGGAGATCTTTAAATCCTTATCCTGAAAATCCTCAATGTAAAAAAAAACCAAATGTTATCGGAAAGGAGTGGCTGCCTTCTCATAGGTCCCTTGACTTCTGAACCATCATTGCTACCGTCAGTGCAATTCCTAATCTATAGGAACCTGAATGCATAACATGAGTTAACTGAGCGTAGGACTGAAGATTATCACGTAGATTGGGTGGGTACACATAAATTTTAAGCCTTTATCCTTTGTTTCTTAAATCGTGAACTAGGCCACGTTATAACCCTCAAAAGACCTAACTGAAACAAGGTTATTTTGAAAGCATATTATAGCAAGGTTGCGTAACCTGACTCCTAAAGATCTTTGCGAATCATTGATTCTGGCAATACACTTTTATTTTAAACTTTGAGCGTCTAGAACCGACGGGTTCTGACCGACGACTCATTTATTTTTCATCTCTCGAAAATAATTTTGATTTCAGTTACATGAACTTTGCATTACCATGTTTGTATGAATATTTTTGTTTGCAATTTGGCTTTCCTCTAAGGAATTTTCAAACAATCGAGAAACTTGGTCTAGTGATCCTATCAGGGGCAAGTCCTTTTACATCCTATCTAAGAATCAGTTTAAGATTTGTTGTCTTCTCAGATTCGGTTCAAGACTCAGACTGGGGCAAGCCTTCCGAGGGTACAGTAAAATAGTCATTTTCAGAATCAGACAAGTTGAAGCAATTATCAGTTAATCTACAATACACAGTTTAATCTGGGGCAGTTTAATTGAAGGATTCCCAGCAGTGGCATCTTTAGTCCCCGAGCAAGGACAATTTGATCTCCGTGTTGAGGAATCAGTCTTCCAATCTCGTCATCTTACTAGAAGAGTCGAGCCTTGTTGTCGACATCTGCATTTGCATTTGATCATATATCATATCATAATTCATATACATGTACACATCATGAGTGTTTCATCCTCATTTGCATTTCTCCCGAGGTCGTGTTTTATCCACGTCTTACCTTGTGGTCAAAGTCCAATTTACTTGGAACCTAACAAACATTTTAGCGTCGTGTCTATCTGATGTTCTTCCAGATATAACATCCCTTATCCAATGGTTTTCCGGATTTACTCCTCTTTATCTGATGGTTTTCCAGATCGAGTCTTTGTTCTGATGTTCTTCCAGAACTTATCTGATGGTTTTTCAGATACCCTTGTGATTCTGTTGGTTTTCCAGAATCTCATCTGATGTTTTTCTGGATCTGTCTCTCTCTGATGTTTTCCCAGACTGATTTTTTGTTCTGACGTTCTTCCAGAACTCCTTTGTTGCTTATCTGATGTTTTTCCAGATATGTCTTCAACTTGTCCCGTACATTTATGGCTTTCCTAAATGTTTCGGATTTATCTTCAAAAACTTGTCTTCATCTCATGCTCCTATAGATGTTATTCTTTTGTTCCTGGATGCAGCCCAGAGTTTATTCGACGTTCTTCTGAATATCTATGGTATGTTTCAAAGTTCATTCAATGTTCTTCCGAGTGTCCCTGAAATTGGTTGCTCTATCCCAGAGTTTATTCGATGTTCTTCCGAATATCTCTGGTATGTCTCAGAGTTCATTCGATGTTCTTCTGAGTGTCCCTGAAATTGGTTGCTCTGTCCCAGAGTTTATTTGATGTTCTTCCGAATATCTCGGGTATGTTTCAGAGTTCATTCGATGTTCTTCCGAATGTCCCTGAAATGTGTTTATTTGTCCCCGAGTTTATTTGATGTTTTTCCGAATATCTCTGGTATGTTTCAGAGTTCATTCGATGTTCTTCCGAATGCCCCTGAAATGTGTTTCTTTGTTCTCGAGTTTATTCGATATTTTTCCGAATATCTCTAGTATGTTTTAGAGTTCATTCGATGTTCTTCCGAATGCCCCTGAAATGTGTTTCTTTGTCCCCGAGTTTATTCGATGTTTTTCCGAATATCTCTGTTGTGTTTCAGAGTCCATTCGATGTTCTTCCGAATGTCCTTGAAATGTGTTTCTTTGTCCCCAAGTTTATTCGATGTTTTTCTGAATATCTCTGGTGTGTTTCAAAATTCATTTGATGTTCTTCCAGATGTTTCTGATGTTTGTTTCTCCTTGTTTATTTTCCGACCATTCTTGAAGATCCCGCTCGATCTCTTCATCTAAAGGAATGACCCCGAAATTCCAACACTTGTCGTTTACCTGATCCTATCGCCGTGTGGATCCTGTATTCGTTTCGTCCTAAAGTGACAACTGGCCGTGCCTGCACCGATTGATCCATCACTCTAGAATCCCCCATTGGTTGATATGTTCCACCAGTGCCTTGTATTCCCCAGTGTGTTACGCGTCGCGTCTGCCCCCTCTACCATCGTGTCGTCTGCATTCTCGCATTTATCATTCTCATCATACGCATCATATTAAAGTCATGGCATTGTCAGCATTATAGTTCGTCTCGTTTTGTCTGTAGCATTGCATATCACCGCATATGAGGGTAAAATTTTCGGTCATCTGTATTTAATTCCCTCCACTGTGATTCCTCGAGTCTCTGCTACTCACAACATCCGGTGAAGCTATTTAAATAGGGGCAACTTTAATACCCCAAATTTTACCCTTAGATTTGGTAGCACTTGGCATCATGCTTAGTATGTATATATTGTGTTAGTTATTAATTGATCAATTAGTCATATAATATTCATCTAAAGATATTTTAAGTTTGTGGTAAGTCTTAAAGAGTTGTGTCTGCTGTTATTCATTATTATGCCTTTGGCACCTCACCTGTTTATTTATATAATTGGAAAGAAATCATCACAAATCACGTACAATTCTTCAAAGTTTTATGTATTTATATTATTGATATTTTTGTTTATCTTTCATCTTCTACATATATTATCACTTCAACTTAATTTTACTATTATTCTTAAGTTTTAATCATATTATTATTCTTAAATTTACTATTATTATTTAGTTTCATTTGTTTTTGGTTTACCTATTGATTAATATTTTTTGTTTAATATTTTCAATTATTATTACATTATTTGAATTTATATCAATAATTAATTTAGTTCCTTCTTTTACAACACACAACATTTTCTTATACTTTCTCCGTTTGTTATGACACATAAATCTTAAGTTGATGGTAAGTGTGGATTGGAAACAAAAAAATTCCTTTTTATAAGTACTTATTAAGTTTATTTTTGTTATTATGCATGGATGTAAATACGCATCCATGTGGGTGAGTCCTGGTCAAATCAATATAATTGTATATATAATTAGCTTTCAACTCATGTTTCCTTTCATGAAGATTCCAATAATTGTGATTAGTTGATATAAAATATTTTATTTACGCAAGATGTGTTATCTTAATGCAAACATAAATTATTCACCATGAGACGCAATCGAATTTAATAAGTGCCTAGTGTGGAATTCATGGAAGTATTTTATTTACACGATGTGTTATCTTATATATACTTCATCTCCACTTTTGCATATACCATCAAAAATCATTATAAAGTATTGCCCAATCATATATATACACCGTCTCCACTTTGAGTACTTACATAAACGATACCATCAAAAACCATTTTCAATTATGGCACAATCTCTTAGATTCACAGTGAAGAGGGGTGCTCCTGAATTAGTTACTCCATCGAAACCAACACCTAATGAAGTTAAATCACTATCCGACATCGATGACCAAGATCTGATTCGTGTTCAAGTTCCAGGGATACTATTTTATAACTATGATCCAAATATGAAAGGAAAAGACCCTGTTGATATAATTAGAAAAGCACTTGCGAAAACACTTGTGTTTTATTATCCATTTGCAGGTAGGTTGAGAGAAGGTGATGGTAGGAAACTTATGGTTGATTGTACTGGAGAAGGTGTTTTATTCATTGAAGCTGATGCTGATGTTACTCTCAAAGATTTCGGTAATAATATTCTTCCTCCATTTCCTTTTATGGATGAGGTTCTTTATGATGTTCCTGGCTCTTCAGACATTATTAACGCTCCATTGATGCTTATTCAGGTATAGATTTTATACACTATATCTATTAATAAATTTATGATCTTTCAACACTCAATCAGTATTGATATACATGAATTGTTACGACGCGTAGGTAACACGCCTCAAGTGCGGTGGTTTCATATTCGCTATTCGTGTGAACCATACAATGTGTGATGCATCTGGTTTAGTTCAATTCATGAATGCCATAGCTGAAATATCTCGTGGAATGAATGAACCTTCAGTCTCACCAGTGTGGTGCAGAGAACTTCTAAGCGCAAGGAACCCACCAAGAGTCACATGTTATCACCCCGAACTCGAACAAGCACCTAATAACAAAGGAACCATCAATCTCATATCCTTAGACAATATGGTCCGAAGAACTTTCTTCTTTGGTCCCAATGAGGTAGCCACAATTCGCTCTCTCCTTCCAACCAACCAACAACAACAATACTCCAAATTTGAAATCATCACCGCTTTCCTTTGGCGTTATCGTACAATAGCGTTACAACTAGATTCAAACCAAGAAGTTTCTATGTATTTCGCAGTCAATGGACGTAGCAAATATGTAAACCTACAATTACCAAATGGTTACTATGGAAATGTTCTTGCAAATCCTGCTATTGTTACAACAGCAGGCAAAATTGTTGAAAATACATTGGGGTATATGTATGTATTGAATTTAGTTAAGAATGCAAAAGCTAAAGTTACCAGAGAATATATGCATTCATTAGCAGATTTAATTGTTAGCAAGGGTCGACCTTCGTTTACTCCGACAGAATTTATGCTTCTAGTGTCTGATGTTACACATTCGGGATTTAAAGATGTTGATTTTGGTTGGGGAAAAGCTGTTTATGGAGGACCAGCTGTCGATTCTCCTATTCATAGTATTGGTTGCTTGTATTTACCTTTTACAAATGCTAAAGGAGAGGAAGGTTTAGTCATACCACTTTATTTGCCAGCACAAGCCATGGAGAGATTTGTAATAGAACTCGATAGTGTGCTTAAAGGAAATAGTGACCAATCTGTTAAAAGTGATCCAAATAAATCTGGTATCATCAAATCTAGGTTGTAGTCTTTAACTATTGTTGTTTTCAGAATTTTCACTGTACTAGCTCTTAAGAATTTACTATGTGTTTGCATGAGAATACTCATCAATCATTTGTCTTTGAGATTTTGGCTTCCTAGTCTCGGAGGAGGTAGTCGATCTCTTACAGTGAGTTTAAAGACTCACTCATATCAGTATTGATTCTTCTAGATCAATGAATGTACTTTTTAAAATGATTGATTTTGCTATTTGTTGAAAGAATGAAACACATAAAACCATTAAGTCATGAATTGATTAAGTTTTCAATACTCATTCATATCTACAAGACACAGTACTTTTTAAAATGGAAAGTCAATGAATGTACTTTTCAAAGCTTGTAATAGAATCTATGTATTTCTAATGTATTGATCACAATTTCTTTAAGCTCGATAACAGAATTTTGATGCTTCACTATCTCTTCCACCATAATATTTCTTTCATTGAGTGTTCTATGTTCTTGATATTTCTTTGATGGTGTTTTCAATATTAATTTTTTTGAATCCCAATCCGGTAGATTCGTTCCAAATTCGCTAGAAAATCAGTATACAAGTATGGTGTGAATCCATCATCTGCCCATGTTTTTCCAATGATCTCCAAATTTGCTTGAACCTCTTGAGGAAGACGGAGCTGCTGCATATCCGTGAAATTCAGGAGTTTATCTCCTTTACTATGTGAATTCAGACAAATTTTACATGAGATTTTTGCAGGACTGGCCCTGTGCAAGAGCAATAAGCTCTACTGCATAAGGCCCCAAAATTTAAAAGGTTTAATTTTTTTTCAATAATATTAGTAGAAAAAAATATTATAATAAACAATCAATAAAAAAAATATTATGATAAAAATTCATACATAAAAAATGAGATGGATGAAAAGTCAAAATAATTATAATTGAATTTATTTTTAATTAATATATAATTATATTTTTATATATTATTTTTAATTATTTTAATTATATATATTTGTTAAGTTAAACCCTTTTTTTAAATTAGAATGGGACCTCTATATTTATTGAGTTAGCCCTCAATTTTTGTTTTGTCACGCTGCTTTGATTGGTTGGGTGGTACTCCACATTATAATCTTGCATAACAATTGAATATTGTTGTTCTGAATGCCAGTATTTGGACTATATACTCGGTAGCTAACATGCATTTCTATGGGCAACTACAATGTTGATTATGCATGGCGTGAGTGGCAATCCTAACAGAATGAGCATAAGAGTTCACTAAGGATGTATCAGCCAACTACGCTGAAATGTGGCGCCCCAAATATTTTATATCTATATCATATGGCATGTAATCAAACTCATAATCAAATGTGACATTCTACATAATTTCTCACCACGGTCGCTCACTCGTAATGCGAGGAAGTTTTACCTTATACCCCTACCTTTATACCTACACCCCTACACTCAAAAAATTTAGACCAAAATACCCTTAGTAAATTTATAATCTTACATTTTTTTCATTTTTCACTTCCATTTCTCACTTTCCATTTTGAGACTTCCGGAACTCTCCAAATTTTGATACATACCGGAACTCTTTCCCAAACACTTCCGGAACACATTTCAATTAAACTACATACCGGAACACTAAGAGTAAGACTTCCGGAACACAAAATTTTTAGGTTGCTCACCGGAACTCTTCTTTGAAGACTTCCGGTTTAGAAAAGAATTTAGTTTACACACCGGAAGTCTTTCCTAAAGACATCCGGTTCTCTTAAAGATGTGTTTCAACTCCGGAAGTCTTCAAAGAAAGACTTCCGGTTCATTGCTTTTTTATTTTTTAATTTTTGTTATTTTTGTTTTCTAATAATATTTAATTATTATTTTTTAAATTTTTAATTATATTAATTTTTTTTCCAGTGGTGCGCACAAGAGGCAGAGATGGTAGGATCCCTCGTGGACTAGGACGGGGCGAGTCATCGAGGATGGCTGAAGAAGAGCATTTTGATGCATCAGCATCAGCATCCGAGCCGGTTGGATATCCCGGAGGACCGTATGATACGTCTCTGTTAGTTAGATACGAACAACATGTTGCATACCGTATATGGTTTGGTGAGGTAAGTAAACGAAAATTATTTAATATTGAATAGAATTCGAATTTTTAATATTGAATTTTATAATATTTTTACTTTTAATTTTTTCCAGGAGAGAGGGTCGAAGAAAGAGTTAAAGGTGGCAGGACATGGGGTAAAGTTGACTCAGAGGGTTCCACTACAGTTACCTAGAGAGATGGAGAGCTGGATATCTAGGTCTGGTCTAGCTTCACTTCAGAGAACCAGTTTAACAAAGATAGACACAAACCTAGTTTCCGCTTTTGCAGAGAGGTGGAATCTATAGACATCTTCATTTCACATGCCGTTTGGTGAGATGACGATTACTCTAGATGACATATCTTGTCTACTTCACTTGCCCATCAGGGGAGTTTTCTGGAACCCTCCAGATATCAGTGAAGCGCTTGTTGTTGAGTGGGTTGTTCATTATTTGGGAGTGTCACATAGAATAGCACAGCAACAAGTCCGTGAGTGCAGGGGTTCCTACTATAAGCTGGAGTGGTTATATGATCGGTTCGTAGAGCACAGAGCTGCATCTCGATGGGATTATGCGACTAGAGCTTATTTGCTAATGTTAGTGGGTTCCACTATTTTTGCGGACAAGACGTTTACGCTTGTCGAGGCACGATACCTGTCACTGTTTATAGACTTGGATGGCTTATCAGGATACAGTTGGGCAGCAGCTGCGTTGGTTACTCTTTACCGATATCTCGGAGATGCTTCCATGTTCAGCTGTAAGCAGCTTGGTGGTTATCCGACTCTCCTACAGGTATTTATTTTAATTTAGTATATTTTGTTTTAATTAATTTTATCTAGTATATTAATTTTATTTATCTAGTTTATTATGTTATAATTAATTATTTTACATTTTGTAACAGTGCTGGATTCATGAGTATTTTCCCACCCTTGGAAAAAGAGGAGAGAATTGGATACCAGCTAATAATGTGGGTCTCCCACGAGCGATGAGATGGTCATATAGACAAGGTACCTTGAAGGTGGATGAATTGCGGCCTATTCTGGACGAGCTGACACCTGCTGATGTCATATGGCGCCCATTCGAGAATCATAGAGTATGGTGTCAGTTTGATGAGTTATGCCTCTATAGGGGGTGTCTGAGGTGGGGTGACATTATTGTTCCATACATGCCCGATAGATGTTTGCGTCAGTTTGGATACAGGCAGTATGTTCCACATCCACCTCTTGATTCTCGAACGGCGGGTGATATTGATGTTGACTGGATTAGTTACCATGAGAGCGTTCAGAATGTGATTCGTCCGACAGCGCCGGCCACCACCCCATATGAGACAGATGATGGGTATCTTGAGTGGTATTATCGTGTTTCGCATCCTCGTCTGGTACCGTTCAGTGTTGATGCGACAACAGAGATGCCAGTTCCTGTATATGAAGCAGGACCATCTGATCCTATAGTGGCTCGTATGTCTTCATTGATACATCGTTATCTTCAGCAGACTGGTGCTGAAGAAGATGACCCATAGTTTGCTGATTTGTTCGAAGCTTTACATCTTGGTCTATCACAGTGACTTTTATTTATATTTATGATTATATGATAACCTTTAGACAGATTTGACCTAATTGGTTTATGTTCATGTGTTAACTTTTAGACTAATTTGACCTATTTAGTTTATGTTTATGTGTTAATATAATTCACGATTCATGTTTTGCAATTAAAAACGAGTAACGTAATTCACGATTCATGTTTTGCAATTAAAAACGAGTAACATAATTCACGATTCATGTTTTGTAATTAAAAATGAGTAACATAATTCACGATTCATATTTTGCAATTAAAAACGAGTAACATAATTCACGATTTTTGTTTTAAAATTAAAAATGAGTAACATAATTTATAATTCAAAATGCGTTGGTAATATAGGCGTAAGTTGTTACCAATGTTGTAGACGTCCTGCAAATCCTATCATCCAAGATGTTGCTGCTGGAGAACGAAACTTCTTCCAATCTACTGTCACTGGTGGTAATGGAAACCCTTCTTTCATGTTTACCTAAATAAAAAAATAACTCACAATATTAACTAAAAATAACGAAAAAGAAGTAGGTTTAATCGCATTATCTAAAAACAACTAAGTACTTGAACCCAATGATTTCTGTTTACAAAACCAATGCAGTAAATTGCTACATTCGGTGAAAATGAAGATGTCATAGGGAAGAAAGTCCATCATTCAATTCCTAAACAGACAAGTACAACATTATAACGATTCGCTATCACGTAACCCATATCTGGTAGAGTTAACCATTTATGTGGTGGCTGAGGACCAACTTCCTCTATCATCAAAGATTCTCTCACTACTGCTAACTGATCAGTAAATAAATTGACATACAAACTTGATCTTTCATTATGTATTATTTCCAACCCCAAGTCTCGACGAACCATTGGCCAACCATCTTCACCATATCCATGCAATGAAGCAATGACTCGGAATCCACAATTACCATCTGATACAACATTAACTACATCATCAATATATGACCTGATGTGATTAGGAAATTGAAGGATGAACTGCTTAGATGACTGTGAAGATTGTGATAATTTCAACTTCTTCGAAGCATGTGATGGTTGAGATTGCTTTTGTGAAGACTATGATAATTTCAATTTCTTCGAAGTTTGTGATGGTTGAGATTGCTTATGTGAAGATTGATATGCTTGATCAACATACTCGTGATACGAAGGGTCTCTATAAACATCATATCCTACTGGTTTTTTGTCTTTCTTCTTGACTCCCCCTTTAGTTTTTATTTTCTCAGGTGGTGGACACATAGAAGTCATTGTAGGGAAGGCAAGTTCAAAAACCCTACTTTTTAATGCCCTTTTCCCAACAACATCCAGTGACTTAAACCTTTTCCATAACTCATCTATTGCACTACTCATATCCACCTCTGATCCATCATCTACATCTTCGTCCAACTTAACTTCCATACTTAGTTTTCTACAATGAACATGCACAACATCTATTGGTATCGGTAAACCATCAATTCTATATCCTGTCAACTCACAAGCACAAGGTAATCCGTAGGTTGTTCTAAGAGTACAACGACATATTTCCTTGTTAGTTCCAACATAATCAACTCGTTTTAACTCTTCAGCAATGCGTCTCAATGCTTCTCGAGACACTGAACCACGTAAATTATTATAAAATGGACTTACATGGGCGTGCTCAACTTCATAAAAACTCTTTTGAAAAGAAGCTCTAATATTACTCAATTGTAACTTTAAGTTGTCATTCATAGCTTCCCAACATTTGACCATGTCACCAATACTGTTCCCCAACATTTGCTTTAACTTCCAATGAGCAGACTCAACCCTAAAATTAATACATATTTAAAATGTTTTAAAAAAATTCAAAAAAAAAATACAATTTATAAATACTAAAAATAAATACATACCGATTAGTCGTAGTGTTACCCAAATGTAGCACTCGATTAATCCATGCTCCAACAAATCTTTGTCTATGTGGTGCCAACCATGTATCCTTCACATAATCAATAAATTCATTACAATCAACACACACCTGCTCAAGTTGGCTCAACCTTTGATCATACTCAACCTCATCACTAGCCCATACAACATCCGTCCATAACTCGTCAATTTTCTTTTGCATGTCACTAGCCACATATTGTTTCCGTTTTGCACCAACATTCTTGTTAATATGAAATCGACATAGCATATTGATCGACCTTGGAAACACAATTTCAATGGCTTTCATCAAAGCAAGATCTCTATCTGTCAAAATCACTTGTGAACACAACTCTTTCTTCACAAACAATTGTTTAAGCTTATCTAGCACCCAACAAAAAGTCTCAGTTTGCTCAGACTCAATATAGGCAAATGCAACAGCAAAAGTCAACTCGGTTGATGTCATGCCAACTATTTCAAACAGAGGTTGCCTATATTTGTTTGTCTTGTAAGTGTTGTCCATAACTAGCACAATAGGAAAAATATTCAACAACTTAACTGAATCTGGATGAGCCTAAAACATATCTCTAATTACTTCAGAGTCGTCTCTTTTTCTACTCCAATAAACATAACCTGCTTCCTCAATAAGCTTAAACAAATGTTGTATCTCACTTCTAGGACCTCTTATATTTTTTTTTTCTATCATACTCTTCTGTTTGTATATTTGCGTGATCCGAGTGACATTATCTGGATCTTGCTCTTGCAATGAAAGAAATATATGTCTAGGTGGAACCTTTCTCTTTGTCAAATCAACAACATGTTGCTTTTGATCAGCTGTCAACCTACCGACAAATGTGTGACCTTCTAATCTATCAGGTAAACCATGGTTATGAACTCCAAATTTTACATCAATCTTCCATCCAGATCCATCAGCCGCTGGAATTGATCTGATTCTAAATGGACATCCACATTTTTTCGTCGCACTATGGGTTCCACTACCAATATCTTTGTGTTTTCCTCCTTTATCACATCCAAATATTAATTTGTTACTTCTTCCTCTCTTGCCTGTTTTAATATCTGAACGAGTGATGATAACCGTAATTTTATTTCGGATTCCGATCTCTTTAATCCATCTTATTACCTCTTCTCGTGTACCAAATCTTTGAGTTGTTGAAAAAACATCAGACGTATCTACGGATATCAGATCTTTATCGCATATTTGTAAAGGAATGTCTGAAACCTCTTCTCGTGTACCAAATCTCTGAGTTGTTAAAAAAACATCAGACGTATCTACGGATATCGGATCTTTATCGCATATTTGTAAAGGAATTTCTGAAATAATTACATAAAAAAAATTCAAAAAAAATTAAAAAATTCAAAAAAATAAAAAGAAAACTCAAACCAGAACACTTGATACAAGTGTTCCGGTAGATAAAAAACAAACCGGAAGACTTGTAGCAAGTGTTCCAGTAGCTAAAAAACAAACCGGAAGACTTTTTACAAGTCTTCCGGTGAACATTCACGAAATTTAACAAACCGGAAGTGTTTTCTGAAGTCTTCCGGTACTATATTTTTGTGAACCGGAACTCTTTGTCCAAGTCTTCCGGTTTTAGGAAAAATGGCTACCAGAAGTCATTTCCAAAGTGTTCTGATAGATCGTGGGATGAATTTTTCGGAAGACTGAAAAATATAAAAAGTAAAAAAAATAATAATATATTAAAATATATAAGGATAAAATGGGTATTTTTTTTAAAAATATAAGGGTATGGGTATAAATGCAGGGGTATTAGGTAAAATTTCCGTAATGTGACAGGTTGTCCAGTCTTTGCTACACGGACCTGTCCATTTAAATGTAGTTGAGCCCAAATGTATCACCCGCCGAACCGTTTTGAACCCTTCCAATTTCTTAGTTCTTTTTACAATTTAGATGGTGACAAATATATAACCACTAAATATGATTTTTATAATAAAAAAATAAAAATTTAAATGGCACTTGCTCCGCTGTTAACGCCATATTCGTATTTACATGTGAGGCTGTTAACCGCCGGTAACAACTGCACCAATCATTTTGCCAACAGAAAGAAATTTTAAAAGATGGTTATTAATAGAGAGACTTTTGATTGGTGCTGGAATAAATGGTTTTTTTTATGCATTCGTCAACTTATGAGAGAACTAGTTTATTTTTAGACTACTAACTTAATTTTGACTACAAGGTAACTCAACAATTGGGCTTACAAGTAAGGTCAAATTCGACATGCTAAGTGTTAAACAGAAACTAACATATTTTGATAGCATGTTTGAACAAACTTCAACTACAATATGCACAACCCCTGTCGAATTATAAAGCTACATTTATTGACATTAGAGTTCGATCTAAATATCACAGTTAGTTAATTGAATACCTAAAAAAATATCAAGACATTAAGCACATGTGATAAACCAGGAAGGCAATCGTAAATCTAAATACCACAGTTAGTTAATTCTTATTCTTTTTCCTTCTTCTCTCAATCATAAATCTAAATAGAGTTTCATGTGTTCGTTCGAGAAACTCACTCTTTCTCATATTTTTGGTTTGTTATTGACGACATTGTTTCAAAGGAAGAAAAAGAACCCTAATCCCTGATTCTCCCCCCCCCCCAATTCATCGTTCTTCTTCATCCGCTCCTCCCTCTCTCGAACCGTCTTCTCTTTCGTTCTTCCCTTCTGCTTTTTCTTCCTCCATCGCGACTCCTCTTCTCTCGCTCGTTCCTGATTTCTATCCCTTGCATCAACAAAAACAAAGAAACAAATGTTAGAAAAATAACCCACCTCTAACAATGGGTTTTGTAGGTTATTGAGGGTGGATAGTGGTGATTCCGGCGACGGGCGTGCAAAGTGGAGGGCAGTTGAAGTTTGCGGAGGATAACTCCGGTGAGGTTTGGTCGTACGGTCAAAGCGTGGGTTTGTGGTTTATGACGGTTGTCGGACCGAGTTTAAGGGGTTTTAATCTGAGGTTGAAAGAGCTAAGTTTTCTCTTTTCTCGATTCACGCACTTAGGGTTTGATTTTGACGATTTTTCGAATGTGG